GGATTCATTCATCCAAAGGTGCTGACCTTATGTTTAACAGTCTAATTATTCTTTTGCACAGAGAATTGCTATTTTTTTCGAGACAGGGTATCTCTTTGTAGCTTTGGTACCTGTCCTGGAACTGGCTCTTGTAGACCAGGCTGGCCTTGAATTCACAAAGCCAAAGGTTGAATTATTCTTTGTCTAGCTTCTGAATTTTGTATCATTCTATTTACTGCTGAAGTCAATCTTTGTAAGGCTTCCATTGGGCCCTGTATAACTTTAGTAAATGTCTCAATTTTCTTTCCTATTTCTCCAATTCTGTCCCAAGTGTTCAAAGCTGCATGGCATAAACCCAGGGTGTGGTCATCACATACAGCCTGCCTTTCTATAGTAACATAGTCTCCTTCTCTAAGAAGTTGGTCTTGGGAGATTTCCCTACCTCTAGCTTTACTCTGCTGTTCAATAATCTTAGCCTCTTCTCTGAACTAGGTACTCCTTTGTAATTGTGGACCGGGCTCTAAAACATCCTTAACTAATTTTATCCAGTCTTTAGGGATAATTCTATTACAAACTGACCATGAGTTTAACATTTGCTCCACAATAAATGAATGCATGCCATATGAAACTTTTGCTTCCTTGAATCTCCTTAAATCTAACATTGGCACAGGAGCCCAGTTAGCTGTAACAGAGCATCTGCCATTTGGTTACCGTAAGGCTACTGAATATAATAAGGTTGTTTGTCTGAAAACTTTGGGCTGTTCCTCTCTATTATTTTTGCTTGTTTTGTTCATTTGTTTTTGTTTTTTTGAGACAAGGTTTTGCTGTAGTTTTAGAGCCTGTCTTGGAACTTGCTCTTGTAGACCAGGTTGGCCTCGAACTCACAGAGATCCTCCTGCCTCTGCCTCCTGAGTGCTGGGATTAAAGGCATGTGCCACCACTGCCCGACTATTCCTCTCTAGTCTTATAATGCAATGCTGAAATTGGCTCTCTATTAAATTCTTCTGTGATCTGTTTTATTATATTTTTCTAAGGCCTGTATCTTAGCACTCAGATTAACCAGCTTTTTTAGTGATAAGACAAAAATGATAATGTTTACAATTGACATTACGTAAATCTAACTTAAATTAGATATCCTCTCATTTAATCATTCCATTTTAAAACTGTCTAATGTATTATTATATAGAGACCCAAATCCCTCCATTATAATGTTTTTTTCCCATTTTTTAATGTGGGAAAAACTCTCTTTTTGAATTAATTCCTCACTTTAAGAATTCTCAATTGTCTTACTAAATCTACCAATGGTGTTGATGAGGGTGTGAGGCTTATTGCTGCTGTGTGGAACAGTAAACACCTGACTGGAATTCAAGGCAGCTACCTAGTTTGGCAGCAGCCCGAGAAGGGTTTCAGGGAGAGTCTAAAACCCACAGTGGAGAGAGAACCAGCTGTCTGAAAAACACACAGGGGCTTGTTCAGAAAAAGCACATGTGTTGGGGGCTGTCTGAAGGCTACAATGATACAATCCCAAACTAGATCAGAGGCTGGGGGGAGGGAGCCTAGACAGGTGGGGCTGGAGCCCATGTGCAGCTCTGGCCTATACAACTCTGAAATTCACGAATTTTTGAGACCTCATACTCCAAACATTGAGTGCCAAATGTAGCACAAATCATAAAAACCCAGAGACAGGTTTTGGGGTTCAACCTGAAGATCAGAAAAGCAAAGCAGCAAGCCACTAGGGAGCTCTTACCTCTAAGAAATAAATCCTCAGACTGAAAGAGAGCGAGTTCCTGTCTCATCCTGCCTTAGTTGCTAGCCCAGTTTCTAGTAAAGGCCTGTTGTTCTCCAAATGAGCCTAGCTTTTACTAAGCTAAGCTTTTTTTCTTTTGGCATTCTAGTCTTCCAGACTCCTACCAAAATGGTCCATTAAGTTCTGCTTAAACCATTCTATGCCTTCTCTAGCCTATAGCTTCAGACTCTTGTACAACCCTTCCCACAAACCCATTCTAAAGGCCTATTACCGGCATGGGCATGTCACAGCAATAGTCCCACTTCTTGGTTCCAGGTTTTTTAAAATTATTTTTGCCAATATACTTGGCAAAAGCAAATTACAAAAGAATTTATTTGAGCTCACAATTAAGAGGAAACAGTCCATCATGGTTCAGAAAGTAGCAAGAAGCAGAGAGAAGAATGCTAGTAGTTAGCTCCGTTTTTCCTTTTCTCTTAGTCTAGTACCCTAGATAATGGGATGGTGTCACCTGCATTGAGGGTGAGTTTTACAACCTTCATGAAACCTCTTTGGAAATATCCTCAGAGACATGCTTGGAAGTATGTTTCCTAGGTGTTTCCAAATCCTGTCAAGTTTACAGGATTACCCATCAGAGTGGTGATGGGGATGGGAGAAATAGTAATGATGGGGATGGTTTTATTACTGTACCATCACACATATATCATACCAGCAGTCCAGCCCCTGAACATGGCTTAGACTGCTTTCAGAAGGTGGCAATATCTCTTTTCCCCACCTTGCCCTGATTAAATTCTAACTCCATTGCAGTTAAATGTTAAGTCAGTGGTACTTAATCACATGACTGTGTTTATGGTGCGGTCTACATATGGCTGATGATATAGCACTGTCTAACAATTAAAGATCTGGGCAGCCTCTCCTGTATCTTCTGGAGGGTCCTCTCACTTGACAGACACCATAAGCTACCCTTTGTCAGGTTCTGCTGCTCAGCCCTGCTGGTCTGGCTTCAGATCTGAAAGCCATGGGACAGTCTGTGGCCAGTCTAGGTCTGTGAATTGCTGTTCTGGCCATAGGTCTGGTGCAGGTGGGCTCTGGTGCTGAAGAAGGAGCAGAGGGTAATGCTCACAGACGATTCAGTTGTTGTCCCGCTGCCCCACTGACAAACATGCCACGCAGGGCTCTGACCTGCTGCACTGACGGTTTAACAACGAGGTTTGATGGTAAGAGACCTGATCATAGGTCCTGGCAGCCCAGGCAGCAAGGTAAGAGGGAGGGACTGTCAGGTCCCATCCTACCTCCACTCTACCTGCACACATCTGTCTCAGTGCTCAGTGACCTGGCAAAAGACTGCCTTGAAGGGCTGCTCGTGGCATTTGCCCTGTTCTTTTGCATAGGCGCTAGAATGTCCTGGCATATTCAGGTTCCACTCAGCTCCATGATTTCATCTCCTATTTCCCGAGCTCTGTCTGGTCACCCCTCCTTCCCCCACAATCAGGTCCTCATTTGCAAACTCTCCTTTATAACACAAACCCTGTTATATGCTATATCACCAGATCTTGCCTACCTCCTAGTGAGAGGGGTGCCAAGGTTTTGAAGGGTCCATGCATAGTCCTTGCTGAGCGCCTGCTGAGACAGGCCAGTGAAGCTTGGATCTGGGGAGGGGCCTGGCCGTGTGCACAGCTGAAGCGCCACACGAGTCTTCCTTACTCTAGGACAGTGGTTGACTACCCTCCCTTTTGGAGGTCTCATACCAGATATCCTGCTTATCAGATATTTATATCACCGTTCCTAACAGTAGCAAAATTACGGTTATGAAGTGGCAATGAAATAATTTTATAGTTTGGGGTAACCATGACATGAGAAATTGTATTAAATGGTTGCAGCTTTAGGAAGTTTGAGAGCCACTGGTCTAGGAAATGATGCCCACCCATGGCTTAGCATCCAGAGTCTTGGTCCCTGCTCACCCTGGCCATGCATGACCCACACTGCATGGGTGAATGGAGGGATCCATGAGCTGCAGGTGTGACGCCCACCAGCCTCAGCAAACCCCCACATGCCCATCTCAGCTGTCTGGCATGTTGTCCTTGAGCGTGTCAGCTGCGTTGAGCGACTGGTGAACACATTTTAATTTAACTCTAACCTTTGTCATTGAAGACATTACGGTCTTCAATTAGGGCAGTGGAAGGCAGTATAATTTGATGATGTGTAGTAATCAAGTTGAGTACAACTTATAAAGCTAGCACCACACATGTCTGACTATAGCCCAATCTCCATCTCATGTCTCTCAGAGGAGATTTATTTTCAGCCATATAATTTATTTGATGTGCATGTATCATAATCGCAGTTGCTAGCGAGTTTTCCCCCTTTCTATCTCAGAGGAACCTGCATTGTTCTCTAGCAGTGATTCCTTTTCAAATCTGCTTTCTGAAAACAGGAAATAAAGATTTGTTTTCTTGATTGTCACAATCCCGAGTTAACTCACAAATGGATCTCTTACAGTCTGACTGCCCTGAGCTCCACCTGGGTTTCCCAGGCAAGTCCAAACTGAAGATCACTCACTTCCTTTACCCTTACATTCCCACCAAGAGAAGCTGTTGTCCCTGCTTTGCAGAAGCATGGACTGAGGCACTGAGAGGTTAAGGGACTTGTCAAGGCTACACAGCTTAAGTATGCTCTTCTCTGGAGGCCAGAGCAGCTGGATGGGATGCTGCCGTCTCCAGTTAAATTCCTGTGTTCAGACCAGGAGAAGGAGCACGGTGTCACTATCGCTGCTTCACGGGCCTCTGTGGTTCCACTTGTCTCTTCCGTTCCCCACCTCATCTGGGCGTAGAGCAGCTGTTGCCGCTGTTGCCTGGCAGTGAGAGTGTGGTGGGGGAGGGTAGGGGAGATGCTCTCTCAACCTAGGCTCTCCTCCCAAAAACTCAACTTGGAGTGAGGCCCTGGGGATTTCCTGGGATCGTTGAGTTCATCTGGACTGGGAAAAGCTCCCTGCACATTCCCCAAATCACCTGGCATTCAGAAGCTCCAGAGTCTGGCCTGGCCCTAGGGAATTGGAATCTACCTACCCTGAGGCAAGCCAGCTTTGTTATACCTTTCTCCGGTCCCTCTTCCTTCCCATTGAGATAAAGCTGGGAATGTGCACCTGGACCCTGTAGCCTTGTGACTCTGGTAGTATGGAAGGCGCTGACTCCTCTCTCTCTCTCTCTCTCTCTCTCTCTCTCTCTCTCTCTCTCTCTCTTTCTCTCTCTCTCTCTCCCCCCTCCCCCTCTCTCTCCCACAGTGCGACAGTGAGAGTGGCGTGGATGACAAGGTGAGCCTGGCTTCTCCTCCCTTTCTTATGGACTGACCTGGGATACCCACTCCACCAACCTTCCCTAAAGCAGGGCAGGTCCTGAAAGCTAGGAAGAGTTCTGTCTATTAGATAGGCAGTGTAGGAAGCTTCTCCCTGGCTGGGGGTGCCTGCCATGACAGTGACTTAGGCATCCCAACAGTAGACCTCAAATAGGCAGCCATTGTTGAAACACTGATGGAGGTCACCCTAGGCACTGGCTGGCCTCAAGGAGGGTAGCAGGGCTTTTGCTGAGCAGCAGCAGGCACCTCCAGGGAGGTGAGGTGGGGGCTGTTGGTCACTATTGCCCTCTACTCTTAGAACAGAGCATCCCCGTTAATTCAGGGTCTGTGCTGCTCAGCGCCGAGTGTTGGAGTAACTTGCTACCACCACCACTGCTCAGGGCCTCCCAGGGTTCTGGAGTCCTCCAGGTAGCACTTTATCACAGATGGTTAAGGGATCTCAGGACATAGGAGGGAAGGGGCTTAGCAGAAGTCACACTTATCAAGTGGGCAGGGGCAGCAGGTTCAGGGTCCTGTCTTACTGGCCTTGGCCTCTGAGCAAATAAAGGCCTAGCCTTTATTTGGATATGGGGTTGGATATGGCAATCCCAAATATAGAGGAGAGGACACAGAGGGAGGTGCGTTCCAGATACAGGGCGTGGGAGGGGGATAGAAGTTACGCTTGGACTTTGGTTTGCGGCAAGTTTTTATGGAAAGGGTTTTATATATGTGGATCCTCAGGTGCACTAAGGGTGTTTGGTGCCTGCTAGTGCATACTTTATTTGTAGTGTAGGGCTCCATGGAGCCATGTCTGCCCGACCTCTTGGTAGGTTTCAGCAGGTTCAACTCAACTGACCCCAAATTGTCGAAGGTACATTAACAGGACCCAGGATCAGGCCATGCTGGCTCTGGCGGCTACATGCCTGTATCAAGAGGTTTCAAGACCCTGTGCTGCCTCCACTGTGTCCCTCTGCAGGGCAGGCTTTCCTCACAGGTCCCTTGAACAAAACATGTCTGGAAAAAAAGCCCTGGAGATCAGTAAGTCCACAAGGAGCCACTGGGGCTCAGGGTGGGAGACTTATGGGGAAGATAAGAGCTGTGCCCCTCCCGTCTAGAGTTGCTGCCTTCTTCACTGACAGAGGCCTTATACAGATATTAGGAAGCACCTAGGGAAGTGCTGAGCCTTCAGGGCCCTTGGTATAAAGCGAACTTCAGAAAAAAGTTCTCTCTATAATCCAGAACTGCTCAGAGTATATGGGATAGGAAGAAAACAGGAAGGGGTTTCAAGCTCCTGTTCCTTCATCCTGTCTTTTAGAGGAAACAAATCCGTCAGCCATCTGAGGGCAGGTAACCAGAAGGGCTGTGGGGTCTTCAGAGGGATCTACCCTGGAGGGGCGAAGTGGGGCCCTGGGGAGGGGTAGTTGCCGAGGAGAGTGGAAGAGCACACCTGTCGCCTTCACTCGCATCCCTCTGAACAAGAGGAATAAGCCAGGGTCCCAAGGGTAGCCAGGGTAGCACCTGTCCCATTCCACAGTGGAGTTGAACTGGCATACATAAGGGACACAGAAGCCAGCAGAGTGAGTGACCTGCTGCTTTGGGGATTTTTTTTAAGGGAGCAATGGGTCCTTGGGACAGGTTACACATCTGCTTTGTTAACTCAGATTGCTCTTTCCATGAGCGTCTCTCTGTGATGATCTGTTTACACACCCGAACTACAGCGAAGTCGCTATCCTGTAGCAGTCATGATTGCCATTTCTTGTCACTCCTGAGGCTACCATCCCCGATGGCTCTGTATAGCAAAGGGCTTCGCATGGGAGCTGTATCCTCCCTAGTACCTCCAATACCACAGGTACAGATCATAGCCCAGACCTCTCAACCCCTGCCACAAGAAAGATGCTGACTTCCTGGATACTGAGATCCTGAGTTTAGGGGCTGTGAATCAGGGTCCAGACCTGTACCTCCCTCCTCACAATGCTAAGTCTCAGGTGGCCAGATCCTGTCTCCCTCTTGGTCATCGCTTTGCCAAGGCCAAGTTCCCTACTGAGGTGTTTATGAGGTGGCATGTGTCTTTTTTCAATGCAGCAAGAACTTGGGAGGGAGGGAGAGAGCCTGCCAGCAGCCATATTCACAGGGGATCCTGGAACTTGGGAGGGAGAGAGCCTGCCAGCAGCCATATTCACAGGGATGTCTGTGCTTTTCACAGCACTGATTCACATTCCCTGGTCCATGTGGCCTGGAAGCAGTGAACAGGGTCACTGACAAGTGGTGGCTAGACCCTCATTAGGGCAGAGGGAGACAGATCTGTGAGTTTGAGCCCATCCTGGTATGGTCTGCATAGTGTGTTCCAGGACAGCCAGGGTCATAGAGAGACCCTGGAGTGAGGTGACTGGGGGTGGGGGCGGGGTGGGGGGTGCACAGTAAGTTTATTGTATAGGAGCCTTGGCAATGACTCAGATAGGCTTAGCCCTGTAGTAGCAGGAAGGGGAGCCTGGACAATTCCCACAGATAGGGTGGTCCTGTAGACAGGACCTGAGCCTAGTACTCTGGTACTCGGTGTCCCTTCCCCAGGGACAAGCCTGGAGCTCTACTGTAGGTCAGGGTGCAGACACTAGACAAATTCTTTATTATAGATGTTTACTTCTCTGTCTCCTGAAGCTCAGCATCCCACAGGCTCTACTGGCTCTGCGCAGACAGCAGTGCACCTCCACCCACCAGGGCTACACTCTACTATGGCAGCTGCCAGTGCAGAGAGTTCTAGCTGCAGGCTCAGGAGTGGGCAGACAGATGGCTCCTTCTCAGGGCTGTGACTAGTATCTAACTGCTTTTTTATTGGAAAAATATCGGTGAAAAATTGTGTAGGGGCTCATAAGGCAGCCTGTTAGGTCCGGGATGGCTGACAACTCTGCCCAAATGGCCCTAGGTGCCAGCCATCTGGCCAAGATTCCTCCCGAGTACATGTGACCTCAGCCCTGTGGCTAGCCAGCCTCTGGGACTGTCTGCAGCCCATTTGTAGGTGTCCACTAGGAGACTCTCCTTACACTCTGGCCACCAAGAACATCCTTCCAGGGTAAAGAGACCCTGTGTGGGTCATCTCGTAAGGGACAGCACAGGTTAAGCACAGCAGTGGAGACTGTCCCTCCGGGGGTGAAGTCTGCAGACCTCTGCTACACTGTGTATGTCTTGGGTTTCTATTGCTATGATAAATATTATTTAGTATAGGAAGCCAAGGCAGGAACTGCAGCAGAGAGCACAGAGAAGTGCTGTTCACTGGCTTGCTCCCCATGGCTTACTCAGCCTGCTTTCTAAGGACTGCTACTCTGGACTGTTTTCCTAGGGATGGGGCACTCCCACACTTGGCTGGGCCCTCCCGCATCAATCATTAATCAAGAAAATATCCCACAGGCCAATTCGATGGAAACACTTTCTCAAATGAGGTTTCCTCTTTCCAGACAATGCTGGCTTATATCAAGTTGGCAAAAAATCCAACCAGCACAGTGTACCTTGGCTTTGGTGATTGGTCCCTAAGTTGGACACCTCTGGATTCCAGCTGCCTGGCACCCTGTTCACCTCTGCGTGGCCATCTTTTGTTGGACTGATATCCAGGAGTTCCATTAGGCAGGGGGCAAGGGGTCGAAGGGTACAGAGGCATCTACCACTATGTGGCAGGTATTTCCTGGGCTCCAGACAACCCCAAGATATCCCTGACTTGGTTAGAAGGCAAGGCCTCTAAGGGTCAAAACCTTCCTACTGTGAGTGGGGGCCCAGTGAGGCGATGTGACTAGTAGGGAGGAGAGTGAAGTCAAGGGCCCTGGATAGCAAGTGGCAGGTGACAGCTTAGGTGGGCTAGATGCAGGACGTGTGTGGAAAGGGGATGTGGGCATTTCTGTTCTGGGTGCCTTGTCCCTACCTCAGAGCTTAGCAATAGAGCCAGCATGGAGTGAGGGTGTCCTGAGAGGGGCCCAGGCACAATTTCTGGACCCCCATGGGTATTATAGGATCCCACTGTGCATCACCTATGCACAGCAGGAGGCTGTGGCCCAGAGTCACTACCAACTGTACCCGTGTACAGTTGGCCTCTGACTCCTGGTTGGGTCTGTTGAGTGCCCCGGCTTGGGCAGGTCAGAAAAGAAAGGGCTGTACCTGATGGATGCCCCAGTGAGTGGCAGCTGTGTGTCCTCTTTCAAAGCTTGCTGTGCAGATGTTGGTTGCCAAGTTGAGTAGCCCCTATGGCCACCCTACCCCTCCAGGCTGGTGCCTTGGGCAGGATCCACTTCCTTTCTGTGTATGGAGAACCACCATTGGCTGCAGATACCCACAGACCCTCTGCCTGCTGACTTTAGGATCTCTCTAAGTGGGGGCACCTGAATGGAGGCCAATAGGATGGTCCCTACTTCAGGGAAGGAGAGGAATGAGTCCAGCCAGCTTCAGGTAGTATCTCCAGGCTACAGGACAGAAGAGGGTTGGGCAGAAGCTTCAGAACCCACTAATGAAACATCAAACCTCAGCCCAAGCCAGTGTTGCCCTGCCTTATGTATGAGACTTATATATGAGACTTATATATGAGACTCATTCTTGGAATGAGATACATTCCAAGAATTAAATGATGGAGAAAAGATGTGGAATGAGCTCAGAGCCCACAACTACTTCAGGGTACCCTGGGGTGCCCACAGGCTTTGTGTGTTGACTGAGTTTTCTGTCCTGCCCGGTTCCTACGGTCGTTATGTCCCAAAGAAATCACACAGTGGTCTACATTAGTTATAAACTGATTGGCCCATTAGTTCAGGCTTCTTATTAACTCTTACAACTTACATTAGCCCATTATTTTTATCTGTGTTAGCCACGTGGCTGAGTGCCTTATTTGGTGGGGCAATCACATCTTGCTTCTTCTGTGGCTGGGACAGGACAGCAGAAAGCAGAATCCTCTTCCCAGAATTCTCCTGTTCTCATAGACCCACCTCTACTTCCTGCCTGGCTACTGGC